CCTTCTCCCAGGCTTGGGAGAGGAACAGCTTGCTTGTGTCTTATGTTTCTCTGAGTCACTGGGTGAAGTGAATGTTTTAGATTTAATTTGCAGATCAGGACAAGGAAAGCTGCCAGTGGCAGATAGGCATGTGGTTAGCTGTGGTTGTACATGGTTTTTTCTCCTTTTGTTTGTGAACCATTTGTTTTGCTATAAATGTGCAATCACCTGAAACATTGGAGTATCTCCATTTAACAAGTCAGAAAATGCAAGGGATGAGGGTTGGTAATAGTTACAAATTACTTATCTAAATTTTGCCTGCATAAAAGGTTGTTTTTTTCTTGATTTCATTATATGCTCCCAAATCCACAGAAGTGAAAGTGTAACTTTTATTCTTATTCTTCTCAGCTAGTTAAAATTTTAGCTTTTACCATTGTTATGTTCAAGATGCCTTTTGCTTTTTTAACTTATTCCTATCTTTTGCTCCCATGAAAAGGAGAAAAAAAGAATGCCCTAAAGAGACAATTATGTTCAATACAGTCCAGAAGAATGGAGAAGTTGGGAAAGATCAAAATATTTTAAATATGTTAGATTTTATAGGTAATGTGTATTTGTTACTGTTGGTAGTGAGGAAAAAGTAGATGTTTTGGAGGTTTATAATGAAATTAAAAGAAAGGTAAAAAAACCCAACCAACCAAACAAAAAAAAAACCACAAAGGATGGATTTGTGACTAAGACTCCACATGGAGTGTCAGGATGATTCAGTGCAATGGCAATACCCCAAATGCCCTGTGTGATCTAGGCCAAGTTGTTTTCTTCCTCATTTCCAGAAGTTCTTTGCTTTCATTTGGGGTGAGACAGCCACCTGCATGCTGAAATACCTCCCTCCCTCCTGGTCATGACCTGCCCAATGGCTTTTTCTCTCAAGAAAGCTCTGGTTGTTATATTTATTAAATTTGACCTATGTTTCTTAAAGGTGCCAAAAGCTCTGTTACTCTGAAAAAAGGTAATTGAGCAAAAAAACAGGATGCTTATTACAGTACTGAGAAATATTATGTGTGTAGTATAATGCAATTATTGCTTGACCTAAGAAAACCACGCTGTCTTGTATAGGTCACCTTTGCAACATATTAAATTCCCAGAAACACTACTGGTTTTGAACATTCTTCACAAATTCTTTTTTTTCTTTTTTTTTTTTTACTTTGTGTTAAGAAAAATACAGAATTGAGCCTATCCATTGGGAAAATGAGGGAGGAATGCATGAGATAAAACTAAGGCTGTTTGCTTAATCCTCCCAAAATCCAGGCTCCTCAGTGAGAGTAGAAAAGCCCATGGTTATATTCATTTTCGTCTTTTAAATAAATTCAGTGTTTGTTGGGTTTTTTTCAGCAGATACACCTAGGAGGACTAAATGCAGAACATTTAAAGAAAATATGGAGAAAAATGAGAATTTTTAATGGCAAAAGCAACTAGAGCCTAGATTACCTTTTTAATTCATGACCTAGATTATGGTAAGAAATAAAAGTATAGTTTAAATTTACATTTTCAATTTACGTTGATGCTAAAGAGAAGTTATCCTACTGTTGAGACGGACTTTTCAAATTAGACCCACACTTCATGGTCTGCTGTTGAAAAAGGATTTCAAAATCTAATTTTCTGAAATGTCAGGAGTGAAATATTGCCTTTTGTGTTTGTCACAATTGCCTGTAACTTGGCAAAGAGGATATCACCACGGTGCTTATTTGTAAAATGTGCTTTGTGAAGCTGTCCTTTGTACCCTTCTGCTGGGCAGAGGAAATAGTGCAGAAAGGAAAGTGAAAGAAAAGTTTGATCTTGTTAGTATTAAGGGCAGATTTAGGGGAAAAAAGCCTTTTGGAAGCACTTCAAGCCAAAGAACAAAAATCACTGCTGGTGCTCAAAACACTGTTAAAACGTACAAAGTTCAAATGAAGTTACTGAAAGGAGAGATAGCATATAGTCAAAAGAAAGCAAGTCTGTCTCCCTAAGTTCAGGGTTCACTAATTCCTTCTTACACACACCTCAGTCCCAGATTGTGCCTTCCACAGGCTGTATTGGACTGTGTGTCCAAGGATCAATAGTGTACCTGGTAAAAAGTGGCTGATGAGTAAACAGGAAAGGACTTTGCTTTTAGAAACAGGACAGGTGCATAGGTTATCTTAGGGTGAGTTTTCTGTGTTCTCTCTTTTATGCATGTGCTGGAGACCTGCAACTGAAATTATTTTATTTTATTTTATTTTATTTTATTTTACTTTATCTTAATGTGTCTTTGGACTGGAATATTTTGCTTTATATTAGAAATCACAACCCCAGCCAATCTGAAGAATCTGTGATACCAGAGAACTAGTGCAATGATCATTTTATACAAACCCAGAGACAGACAAATAAAGCATAAGGAATTTTAAGTCTACTTATATAAATGGTTATGTATACACTTGCTCTTTTGTGTTTGTGATAGTGTGAAAAATCTCTATTTAATTACACTTACTGGTTTATATTTTGAAGAAAAAATGCCTTTCTTAAGAGTTAGAACACCCCCTTAAACTCAAGTATAAAATGATTATGCAACATATTGCTATGGATAGCTATTACGTACACATATATATTCATACTTCACATGGAAACAAAAGTGTGCAAATCTAATTAAAAACAAGTGAAAGCAAAAAAATGGCTTTTGCAATGTCCCCTTTAAAAAATGATCCATGAAAATGTCTTACTGTGAGTTCCTGCATGGCTATTTGTATAGCTGTACAAACAGACCTCAGTCCCCTGGCAAACAAGCCAGGCCAGACAATGGAAAGCCCCTCTCCTCCCCTCTGATACAGGCTGGCACAACAGTAAGATTCTGGTGTGACCCCGCAGTGCAAAGTTGCCTTTCCTGTGACTCCAGGAGTAGGCAATCCATGCTGGTTGTGTTGCAGTCTTCTGCAAATTGTTGACTTTTCAGCTGGGAGTACTTCTTCTGTGTTTCTCAAGGAAAGGGCATTGACCGTACAGATTTGATTCATTTTTTTCTTAGTTTTTATTTGTCTGGAGCAAAAATGAAGGACCCATTCATACTTGTTTCTTGTTCTGTTTTAGTGACTGTGATTGCTCAGTGATTGCATCAGTCCCGACCTTCAATGTCAGCCATGTAAGGTCTATCCTTGGAACTGTCTCTGAAAATGGCAGGAGCTTTAGCATGCTCCACAGCTACTGCTGCTCTTAACTAACTTCCCCCATTATCTTATTCTTTTTGCTCATGCAAGAGTGAGAAGTCCTTATGTTACCAGCTGCAAGTTTAACAGATCTCTTATGTTCCCTGGGGAGAGCATGAGCCCTGTTCCCAAGATAACTTCCACAAAACCTTTGTCTTTGTCTTGAGCACAGACCAGCTTCATGGTGGCAATCTCTGTTCTTCCTCACCACCTGGCCTGGGTTTTGGAGTCCAGAGGCCCTGAGGAAAATGATGTGATTTTGGCTGAATAAAAACTGAAAAATAAATCAGTTTTGTCAGTGCATAACTGCAGAAGGAATGAGAGGGGAGGGAGGGAGGGCAGAATGAAAATAACTTTGGCCTTAACAGTTCTCATTTCTAATCTCCTGTAAACATCACCCAAAGAACAGGGATTTTGACCCTGAGGATCCACAGGTACCTTTTCTCACCTTCTCCCTCCTGACTGACAGTTGAAGCGAGAGTGGAAGCCAGAAGAGGAAAGGTGAAGGCAACAGTCTGTGTCTTGGAAAAAAATTATGTCTAGAGCAGGCAAAACTTAGCTTTTGCTGATGTGAGTTTGAAGCCAAAAACATTCTTGTTGCTACTGCTGCTGGTACTTTCTTTGATCACCAATGGAGAGACAGAAAGTACTTGCCATCTATCTGTTTTTGTCTCAGGGGGAGCTACCACACTTGTGACCCATTCAGCGTAAAATAGAGAGCTTACACCTTCTTCTCTTCCCCCACCTCCTTGTCTTGAAGCAGCACTTGCTGGAGCTGCTTATGTCTGAAGAGCAAGGCAAGGGATGCAGCACAGGCAAGGAGTGGGGTGAGGTGAAGGTCCCTTCACTCTCACAGTGCAATGTGACTGTGGGTGGTGAGTCCTTGCTGTGAGCATGAATCTCCTTTACAAATAATGGAGTGCTGATTTAAGGCATCCATGGCCAAAAATTAAAGACACAGGCTTAATTGTGGTGTATTAGAGGGCAGTTTATCCCCAGAACTTGTGGGCAGCCATGTGATCATTTCTGGGATTTGACCTGTCTGTAAATCAGATGGGCATTTTTCCATTCTCATGAGTCAACAGAATTATGTTTGTGAGAAAACGAACCAGTACAAGCTTGCAAAAATGAGACCTGATGAGAGTTTCAGTTTGTTCTTTCATTTGCCTTGGATCAAAACTGGTTCCTGTACAAACAGTTATTCCTCAAATACATTCTTTTTCCCTGTTTTTGAGTATCCTGGATTTTAAGACACGGTGTGTCTTTCCTGCAGTATGGAATGCCTTCAGCTGATGAGTCATCTTGTGTGCTTATGCTAAAATGAGAATAAGCTTTCTCTCACCTGTGCTGGATCAGAGGGATGCCTGCAGTTAAGAAATGGCATAGAGAAGGGACCTGTCACTTGCATTTGTCCCCATTTAGAAGTGGTTTACAGCCACTCTTTTAGCCATGGTGTCTTGTTTGATTTCAGGATCGCCTTTGCAGTATTTGTGAAAACTTCTCTCTGCACACGGTTTTTGATTGCTATCATGAAAATATTGAAGCTGAGAAGAAAATGAATGAATAATCAAATGTAAAATTGTGGCTTAGTCCCAAATGTCTCTCCCCGGGCTATTAATTTGTGCATCACTAACATGTCCATCATTATTGGTTGCACAGTTTTTCAAGTAATTAATAAATAACCAGAATAGGTAATGTTTTTTGCTGCAATGTGCCATCAGCACATTTCTTAGAACCTGCACCTCAAGGGTAGATTGACAGTGGCTGTTTGGTATTTCTGTTTTGCAGATGTTGTAGAGTTTTCCAATGGAAAGGCTGGTATTTTTGATGAGCTTTTGTTTGGTGTTGTCCAATACACAGCAAGCACCATCGTAAGTACATTTTATTATTAATTCTTTAATCCTAACAAATCCCTTGAAAGAGAAAGTAGGAAGTGCTAATGGTCTTGGTAGAGAATTAACAAAGACTGTTTCTTGCACCACTGAAAATTTGTGTGACCTTAAAAAGGTAAAAAGTAAAAAGTTTAATACTGCCCTTTTAAGGTACCTTTAATGGGAAAGATCTCTATTCAGTAACAAATAATTTAAAATGTCCTTCCACAGCATGATGTTCATGACGTTATTGCTGCTTGCTTATGACATTTACCAGATTAGAAAATCTTGGAAAAGAATAAAGACAATTAAACAAATGAAAACAATAAAGATCAGGATCAAGCATTGCATGAGGGTAGATGTAACTGAAAGACAAGTTTCATGATTCATTGTAAACTAGAAACATAGTGAAGTGTTTTCACAAATGTATAGGTAAAAATGATAAAAATTTCTAATGTTTATTAAAAGCTGTTCTGGTTTTCTTTCCCAAGATCCCTATGTGAAGACTCAGACCACCTATTATGCATTTCATTAATCATATGGAAGGAGAGACATTATTTTTATTCTGTTTTCACAGTGCACCATGATTATTATCAGAAAAAAAGAAAGTAAATTTGAGTTTCATTTGAAAAAAAAAAAATACTAGTTTTATTCCCTTATTTCTATACCCTACCTTTCATTTTATAAATATAAGTAAGAATAAACATTTTCAAAAAATGTTACAAAAGATAAAATCTAGCCAACACATTCTGATTATGGTAAAAGAATTAACCTTTAATTTTAGAAATCTTCCGCAAAATAATCATTTTCCAAAAGTGGCTTTCTTGAGCTCGGAACTGTTCTTTGTGTATGTGCCATTATATCATTAGGACATAGCTCTTCACACAGTGCTCTGATTTTTGTGTGTAAAAGACACTTGAAAAAAAGAAAGCAAGAAGGATGATCTACATTTTAAAGGTTGTGAAAATAACTATCAAGAAAAACCACAGCAGAATTAAGAACAAAGGAAAGTAACAAAGAGAAAATACTAAATCCCAACCACTTTAGCCTCCAACTCAGCCATTCCCAGGGCTGTGATCTCACCTTACATGGTCTCTCATTACCGGCATTTCACAAACAGTGACATCTCAATGAAGATCAGCCACTTGAAACCCCATACATATGGTTATATAGGAAACCAATACCTCCTGACATATTAAATCATAAGCTACAATAATGTAAGTGCTAGTGCACAAAGACATATGACTTCATTGTACCAAATCTGTATTTGTGAATAGCTATTCATTGTCTCATAATGCTTGGTCTGGTTTTGTTTCCAGAAATTTGAGTTTATAGAACTTTCTCTGAGTTAAACCAGGCTATAAATGGCATTGGCAGTCCCTGGGACATGTTGCAGAGGTTTTTTGCTCATATCTATAGGGACTGATCTTCTTAAGTACATAAATGTGATGGTTCAGAATTTGGGGATCAGTCAGAGAAAAATTGTCGTATCTTAGTTTCTACGTTGACTAACAAGAGAGATGGGCTAGGTGATCTCCACAAGTCCCATGCTCAACTATTCTGTGAGAGTCTGTTTTTTTCTTTAAAATTTTTATTTGTTGGACATTCTTGTATTATGTGAAAATCGGCCTACATACTGAACAATCTGTTTCTGTGTTGTTTTAGATTCCTTATTACTGCCCCAAATGTGGTGCATTTGGGCACATATGCGACAGTAACAGTTCAAGTCCATGGAGCACAACACCCTGTGCAAGTTACTGCATACTTCAAAGATGAGAAAAAAAATGAGCTCCTATCAGAGAGGATCATCTTTAACCTTAACCACAATAACAACTACCAAGAGATGAAAAAAATAATGGTGAGTCTTCCATCATAATAATGTAAATGTTTTAATCTGATGATAAAGAAACAAATGATCTGTACTAGGAATATGTTGGAACAGAGACCACACTGATCCCTAGAGACAGATGACAATATGCTAATTCCAGTGACAGCAGCACCTTATTCACTCAAACAGCTAATAAAACAATGACTAATATAATTTCAATGGTGATTGTGAGTGCTCTTTTGTGCCTACCAAGCAAGCTCAAGATGTCTTCACACAGTCATGAAAGATCTTTTCAAAGCTCTAGATCAGTGATGAAATTAAATTTTAAAACATTTAAAATTTTTTATCACTGTTTGCTTTTCTGCATCACTTAAACTAAGACTGCATTCATGCCTATGGCATACTGGCCATTTTTACCGATTGGAGAAACCTTTAAAAATGTGCAGTTTCTCAGACCAAAGCCTGTGATGTTTCTGCAAACCTGTAAGTTGATTGCTTCTTCTTTACATCTTGCTTTGCATCGTTTGCTTCTGACATGGTTCTTTGAAGTCTGGTAGCATTTAGTTCAGGAGTACTGTTTTGGGCTATTTGGTTGGAAAACAGCACGTAGCAAGACTCAGTTTAGCTCTGATTGATTACTCCCAAAGCTAAAAGCTGAGCATTCAAATCAGGTTCCTCTTGAGTACGATGTTTAGAAACATCGTATTAACCTGTATGAGGTAAAGCTCTAATCTCATAGCTAAGATTTTAGCAAGTGAAGGATTACAGGATGTTGCTGCAGCTACCAAATGACATGGTAGCTGGAACTTAACATGTGTATAGACTGAAGAAAAGTCACTGGGATTGAGTTATTGCCATTGGACTGAAGAACGTGTATTTCTGTGGTAGAAAATGGGGGATTAGATAGTAGTTCTACTTAAAAATAAATATTCACCCAGTAAGAAATCTATAACATCCAGAAAGAAAGATATAGTTGAATATCTTCTGTTGAATGGTGCTAATTATTCAATCACTTCAGGTGTTTTTGATCCTCAGCTGTGTGGCTGCGAAGTTACCAGATTCATATCTGACTCTGGGGGGTTTTTCCTTTTGTCTTCTTCAGATCAAGCCAGGGACTCAGCAACAGCACCTGTTCAAGAAGAGTAATCAGACATATATTCTGCTGGTCACAGAAAGCAGGGAGCTTTATAAGGAGACCACTCAAAGCACTCGCATCCTCCTGTCTTCCAAGAAAGGCTACATCTTTATTCAGACAGATAAGCCGATATACACACCAAGTTCCAAAGGTTAAAATACAAATGCTGTGTTTCAGATGTTGACTATAGATGTTATAAGCACATGATTAGAAAAAGTAATAATGACTTAATCCTTCATAGTGTGAATCCTTCTCGTTTAACCCCTGCTGTCTCTGTGCTTACCTGTCAGTCCAGATTTTAAACGTGCCTTCTGCAGCCATGGCTTCTGCAGGGTCTGCACTGCACGTTGCAGGAACCCATGTGGAAATGCCACCAGAGTCAAAAAGTCATTCTAACGAGAGCCAGACAAAATCTTCTCCTTTTTGCTCAAAAAGCTTAATAATTACTGTCTTTTGGAAAAAAAAAAAATTGTGAGAAGCATGCAAAAAACCCCTAGTGCTTCTGCTTGCAACACCAGCAATAAGCATCTTTTGCACTTTAAGACCACAACTGTTTTGTTACTTAACAATTTAATTAAGTAACAAGAGAGGGAAGTAAAAAATAATTATTGAGTTTGGTCGCAGGCCTTGACTGCAGGAAGAATACAAGAGTGAGTGAAAGTTCCCTGAGTATGTTTTGGAATTTGTTTAAAAAATATATTTGGCTGTTCATGTAACATGCAAAGCCGATGGAAGAATGCAATTCTTTTTAAAAATTTCTCAGGTTTCTTTTCATTAAAAGAAAGTGTTTTATCCTAAGTTCAGTAACTCAGTTTAGAGCTTGTAACAATTACTATCTAGAAAGGCCAGAAATAAAATGTGAACACATTTATTCTTCTGTTAAACAGTAAAATACAGGATCTTCATTCTGGACAATGCTATGAGGCCAACAGATGACACGGTTATAGTTGTTGTGCTAGTAAGTATACAAGAATCACACCATTGTTAATGAGTGCTTCTTCAACACAGGAACTATGAAAAACTTACACAAAAGTTCAAGAGTAAAACTGTAGCTATGACTGCTCTCCAAAAATCAGTATTTACACATTGTGGAATACGTCTTGTAATTTTTGGACAATATCAAGAATATGGAGGGAAATGTCACATGTGAAAATGAAAGTACAAAAGCAAGCAGAGCATTTTCTCTTGCTTAGGACAAGAATATGAACTTGAGCTTTTGAATCTAAATGTTTGACACATGGTGCATAATTTTATGTTTGTTTTATCTCTCTCTCAACAGAATTCAAAAGGAATGGTGGTTAAAAAGTCAGAACGGAAAATAAAAACAGTGTTCAGTGAAAACTTTGAAATACCTGACATTGCTGAGTATGTTACTGCTGTGCCTTGTGCGTTAAAACAGTTCACATGTCAGAATGTCTCTGGAAGCAGAGCTATCTTCAAGCTAAAAACAGGATTCTTGTCCTTCCCTTCTTTCTGCTCTGTTCCTCTGTTTCCTCTCTCTTTTCTTTTCTTTTTCTTTCTTTTCTTTTCTTTTCTTTTCTTTTCTTTTCTTTTCTTTTCTTTTCTTTTCTTTTCTTTTCTTTTCTTTTCTTTTCTTTTCTTTTCTTTTCTTTTCTTCTCTTTTCTTCTCTTTTCTTCTCTTTTCTTCTCTTTTCTTTTCTTTTCTTTCTTATTGTGTGTTGTCTGCTTTACCATTTCTTTAGAACAGGAGTTACACTAAAGCACAGATTTTGCTCTGATCACACCTGGGAAGCACCATGGCGAACTATCAGAGCGTGCGTGACAGCAAGGAACTGAGCATGGTGGCTCTGGAGTAAGCCCTGGAGCCTCCTGCCATGCAGGGATCTACACCTGAACTGGTCACCTCACAATCCCTTCTCCAACACATATTTAGGCTGCAATTCCTCTGACCTGTTTTAGATGCCTATGTCAGGATGGGATGTACCAAATCTCAGCACTGTCCATTTCTCTCCACTTGCTGTAGAGGAACCCAAGGGGACCTATAGAGATGAAAGACCTCACAGTATAATGCTTAAAGTGGGGAAGACTAACCCCACCTCCTCTTAGCTGGATCAAAGCATCCAGATTCATCCCCTTTACCTATTAAAGTATTTAAGATTTTTAATTGCTGAATTGCTTGAAATATCTTTCAAAATTGTCTTTCTCTCACCATAGAGCAGAGATTGAGCCTATGGTTAATATCTTTTTACATTTAAGCACCTCATCTTGGAGAGATGAGACCAGAATTTAATATTAATATATGGCAATCAGCTACATTTATCCTGTTAAGGAAAAATTTAACAAACTGCTGAAAAATCTGCTCAACTGTATGACTACATTCAGAGGAGCACTTCCCTAAGTGCTTAGTTTGCAAAGTGTAGCTGAATACCTCTGATTTCAAACAATCAAGCTTTTACTTAATATTCAGTGTGTTCTTGCATGCTAGATTGATATCACAGTGAAGATAAGCTGTAGGAAACATGATGAATTCTCTATTTCTGAGGGCTTTTCAAGGGCAGTGCATGTTACGTGTGATTTGCAAATATGTTATCTTGTAGTTCCTCATAAAGTCTTTCTGAGTGTTTCCTACAACATTTGGAAATGTGTTGCTGACTTCTTCCAGTAAAGAGAAATCCATTAATGAATTAGTTTGGAATGAGATCAAAGCAAGGAAAATAGTAGCATTTAGTGATAATTTAAATATATTAGCATCATAAAATATCTGAGGAATCCTAATTAACTGTCTTCTACTGAATCTGAACTTTAGGCCTGGAACTTGGAAAATCAAAGCCTGGTTTCATCAATATGAAATGTCTAATGTTTCTGCTGAATTTGAAGTTAAAAAATATGGTAAGAGAATATTTAATTTGCATTACAAATATATGAAGTCATCACTATGCATCAAAAGACAGATTGCAGTGATTAAACCTAGCTGCAGTTAGGTGCTAAAGACAAGATCCACAGTGTTTCAGTGCCTCATTGTTGTCTCTGATGCACAGGAGAACGCTGGTTTTGTATGCCTTCCACTTATATTTGAAAAAAACCTTTATTTTTATACAGACTTAGTAACATTTTTCACAAAACCTCTTTTAATGGAAAGGCTCTCCTACTGCAGAAAAAAATTAAGATGAGATCCATTTTAAAATCTTTGTAATTCTGGCTAAAGTTTTCAGTAAAGGCTAGAATAGGAAAAAAAAAGCTACCTGTTTTCTCTTGTTGCAATTCAGTTTGGAAGTTTATTAAAGTTGTTCCTGTACTCTGAGAAGCTTTTTTTACAGAAAAGTGAGGATACTGTGGGAGAAGTGAAAATGTAGAAACTTAACAATTTGAAGTAAGAAATGTCTTGATTTATTTGTGCTGAAAATATGCTTTCTTGCAAAATTTAGTATGTTTTGTTTGGGTTTTTTTATTTTCTTCAAGTCAAAAGAAAACATCAGGATTATATGAAAATCTCAGTTTAACAGACCTGGTTTTGCCTTAGCTAGTCTCTGCAAACACCTGCATCCACAAGCAAAATACTCTGGCTATACCAACAGTAGCAAATAGTTTGGCTTTATAGGAGCAAATTGCAAAGTGACACAGCTGATGCTGAGGACCTCATGTTCACACACAACCCATTTCAGAGTGAGTTTACTTCAGACTGCTTTTAGTCCAGGGCACTTAAAGCCCATTAGCAGCCAGAGCTTATCTTCTGTCTTATTTTCGTTGTAAATAAATCAATTTTGTGTGCTCAAAGATTGCTCCACTCCATGAAGCAAAACAAAATAAGGGAAGATAATCAGGAGATTTGCTTCAGAAGTGCACTGCTGATTCAAACTAAAACATCTTCTCAGTGGGTGTTGCCACCTGCCAGGAGTTTAAGGTACGTTTGAAACTCATATGCCATGACCTTTTGTCTTCTTTTTTTTCATGCAGAACTTCCATCTTTTGAAGTCAAACTCATCCCATTTCAGCCATACTATCACATTGGGAATGAAAACTTCATGTTTGATATCGAGGCAAAGTAGGTGTGCTCACAGCAAAGCTGTTTTAGGAGGCAGATAAGTGGATAATGAACTTTGCAGCTGCTTCCTCTCCTTGTCATTAACAGTTAACCAGTTTCTGGCTTTACTCGAATCTGACTTTAATCTTATATACTCTCTGTTTCCACTACTAACTTGAGACATCAGTGTAAAATGCTACCTGGGTAAAATGCTAGTGGTGGTGATAATGGAACAAGATTTTCTGAATGTTTTTGTTTGCTCATAAAAAGGTGACCATTTAGGATTCTTTTCTGTGTTACTAGGTAAAGTTCCAGACAAATCCATAACCTGCTTTTCTTTATACTTTTTTGGTTTAAACATTTAGAAACATTCTAAAGCCTCAGATGTTGCTATTTAATGTAATTCAAGTAGAGATGGATTCAAGTTTGGGTATAGAATTTTCTCAAAGCCCAGTGAAGTTTGGAAGTAATAAGCTAGTGCTTATTTGAGAGTCATGATTTTATGCAGAAATGCTTCCAGGTGAATAAATACAGTTAATCAGAGGAGTTTCCATGACCTTCACTACAGACATGGGCATTACTGAAGAGTAGCGTGACATTGATCTGGATGAGACATGAGAGCCATGTCTCAAAGCCATCAGACTGGCCAAACCACAAGGTAGGGCTCTATGGAGAATAAATTACACCTGATCTCATATAAAATTAGAGTGACATCAAATGCAGAGTAACTTAGGATGTCAGGCAATGAAAGTTTAACTCATAAAAATATTTTGAATACTTTGGAAGAATCGGACTGAACCTAAATTTAATAGGCATTTTGTGCTGTGTGGCTCTGGTGTTTTTGATCCCACACTGACAGATCTAAATTTGCTGTGTGATATTACAGTGGCCCATCCAACATATGTCAAGCCTTCTTGGCTGTTGACCTTTCAAGTTTCATAGGAGTGGAAATGCTAAATAACTGCCTGTTAGGAGAATGTTCTTCTTTTATTTACCACTCAGCTGGAATCCCAAATGACTAGAAGTATCATGGCCACCTTGCACATTGGGAAGTTGGAGAGAGAAATCAAATCAGAATCAAAGTCTCAGGAGACTCAGCGGTGTATCTCCCTTTCACTGAAGTCACCACTCATGTGACTAGAGTTGATGACTTTGGTAGGACATATTTATGTGACATCTGTAAGTCCAGGATCTACATGCCAGTCATTTAAGTGAAGTGGTTTGGTGTGACATTAGTTCAGATATTGTAAATTTGATTTACAGTTAGATTTTAAATCTGTTTTAAAGATTATTTGGTGAAAAAAAAAAAATCATGGTATGAAAATGGCATAATCATGAAAGAATATGTGAAGTTCCTTCACGAAAAACCATATAATTGAAATTGGCAAAACCAAACTTAATACTGCACTTGAACAGAAGTTTATCTTTTCTGAAGTCAAATAACCTCTGTGTGAAAAATGAGACATCTGAATTAGTGTCCCTATGGTGACTAAATTTGAACTTGATATATCTTTTTTTTTCCTCTCTCTTTTTCTGAAGAGGCATACATTTTATGAAATGAGAAGAGGCAGCTGGCCTTCTCTCATAGTTGGGAGAAATCTCTTCAGTTTCAAAGGAGTGAGAAGACTGATCACGTTTTTACTCATGCTTTATTTTCTTTGTTTCTGTGGATTCTTAATTTTTATTATCTTTAAAGATCGGAAAATAATATTAGCAAATACTATGAAAACCTAAGTAGGTTTTTAGCATATTGCCAAACATACTGGATAGTTGATATGGAAGAAATATATCTCCTGAAATAAGATACTCTGCATTATCTAAATAACACTGAAATAATTATTCTATTTATTTGTCCCTATCTAGACAAAAACTTAGATTTATTTCAGCGCAATTTTGATACATCGGCAAGGTGTTGAACACACAGTATTGGCAAGTAACGTCAGACCTTCACTAAGAACAGCTCCTTAAAAAATGAGTTAGCACCTTTGTTGCTTTTGAGGTTAATTCACCATGTTTCTTAAGTTTCTTTAAACTGAAGTCACAAACAGGATCCCAGAGTTATTGTAGCTAGTGTTGTTAAGTGTATTTAGTATTAAACAGTGGGCAGATTTTCTGTAGCGTAATGATACCCAAGACAGTGGAAAGTGAACTGTGTATATTTTATTAAATAATTAGTATTTATTTTTGAAGCCTGTAAAGCTTATTTTATCCATTCACTTTTAGTATTTTGACTACTGATGGTTTGAAAATTTTTTTAATGTAAAAGTATACACATGAGACATTGTTGGGAGATGTTTTAACAGTGAAGTTAGATTCTAATAACTTACTAATTCTACAGAATAACTTTTATAATTTTATCAAGGAATTTCATTAAGTTTCCTAGCCAAAGCTCCTTTGAGTGTTGCCTTTTACAAATATACACATAATTGAATACTATATGAATACTTTATTCATAAGTCCCCATTGAATAGTTTGTGTCTATCTCAGTACCTGATGGGGATGGCAGAGAGAAGGGAGGAAAGAGCTAGGTATAGAAATTGCTAATATAATATACAGATAAGAATAAAAAAGCCCGATCTATACAACCAAAGCTTATGACTTTGTTAAGCACTGGCAGTAAATAACCTTGTAAGTAATTTGGCTTACAGTAGCCTGTAGTTAAACTGGTATTAAATATTAGCATTAAACTATGTGAGTGCATATGACTAAATTATCATCACTACTGCAACCATTTGTGTTTCATCTTGTGTTGGACTTTGGAAAACCATCCAAATTGAGAGCAGCAAACAAATTATTATTATACTAAAACCTTATCAAATATCTTTTGAGATATTATTTCATAGATACTTTCCTATATGAGGAATAATTCTCATATAGTAGGAGTTTTGTCTGTATATCAACATGATACCAGAAAAGATATTTGAGCCACCTGAGTTGTAAATTCCAGAAAAGTTTCCTGAGCCCCAGAGCCTGGCTGCTGATGGCTCAGCTGGTGTATGGCACAGGGTTGGCCTCAGCCATACAGCAATCCCCAAGCAATTCCTGGAATCTCATTAGGAGGAAGCATGGACAGAGGTCCACCCCAGGTCTGCACATGGCCACCCTGCTGTGGAAGACAGGGGATTCAGCAGAGCGAGCATGGTCTCAGCCAGCCACAGCATCTGAGACTGCAATGTGCTCATTTAATTTTATTTCATTAACTTGGTCCAAACAGAGAGCAGTCATTAGATTTGCTGCATGGACCCTGACACTGTATCCAAGTGGAAGACTGATCTTCCACCCCCACAGTTCTAGCAAGTTTGATTTCTGGTCTAAATTAATCCCTGGCAAGCTTACACCCTGTTGATCTTCTGCCCGCTGTCCTTGAGCTCTTCTCCTTGGCCACACTGATCCTTCCTTTCCTCAGCGCACCTTGAGAGAGACAGCAGAACCCTGTATCCACCTCCTTTTGCTTGGCTGAACAAACTCAACTCTTCTAATTTCCTCTTGGTCACCTTCACTTCTTTATTTGGTTCTATTGCATAATTATTAGCTTTAATCATGATTACTTGATATTATTATATGAAGTGATAGCAGATAATTGACTTTAATATTTTAATCCTCTCTGAAATTTTCTCTTTATGTTATTGCAGCACTTGATTTTAAGTTTATGGACTGTGCAACTCCTTCATATATACTTCATTATTCATTGACATAATAATTATTTAAGAGGAAAAAATGGGTTCTTTTGTCTATTGTAAATGTCCTGATAATTTAAATTATTTCTCTGAACCGGTCTTGCATGCTATGAAACAGTTATTTTGTATATTGACTGTTGTTTCCTGCAGTTATTAGTTCTGGCATTTTAAGCAGTTTTCCTGAGAACTGCCTCTCAGTTTCATTGGTATAGATCACTGCTGCTGATCAGGTCAATTTGAAAGAGGCTTTTTTAAAACAAAAATAAGGCATTACAAAACTGAAATGAAGCAGAATTTCCACGAGCAAAAGACACCTCCATGGCCGTGGCAGGTCTCATGTAGCACATTACAAGCTCTGCTGCAGGAGGATGCCATCTTTCCTGGAGCCTGCCAGGTGCAACAGCATTCCTTGTCCTCTCTCTCCATGACCTATATAGAGAGTTCAGGGGTGTTCTGGTCAGATACCTGTCTGTCAAATATTTCACTTAAAAGAGGTCTGTAGGATATACTGCCAAAATCCATAGGAGAGACTGGGACAGAAGATGTCTACTCTGCCTAATGCAGGTATTAAAAAAAAAGCAGGAAGGACCTGTCTCTGGAGGTCTTCAGAGGTACCAAATACTTTATATGGGTCCCCAAGATGATTCTCTGGCCCCTTATTTTAAATGTTCTGCTTATGAGATGTCTCAAACAAAGGAATTAGCTGTTCATCCAAGATAAATAGACTGGATACTGCCCTTGCTCCCTGTAAAGGGGATGAGTTGTGCAAGACCTCACTGTGCAACTAAACTTCTCATTAATTTGAAAAGAGAAAAATGTTTAAATTATTCTGGTGTAAATTTTGTCAGATGATATCTCCAGATGTGATTCTGACAATGTGATTTACTCCATATATTTCTCTGCACTTGAAATCACCACTTTGTACACAGACCAGTAAAAGTCTTCATGTTTGAGTTACCAGTGAGTGAGTGGGACTATGTTTTGTTTTCAAGATATTAGTTAAAAATGGGATGCCTACAGATATCCTAAATTTTTACTCAGGATAATAAATCAGATTAGTTTGATTTATGCTTGTTTTTTATTAATGTAATGATTCAGCTCCTCACTTTTCTTCCTTCCACAGACACTCTTATGGGAAAGGGATTCAAGGTGCTGCATATGTGCGATTTGGCATAATTAATGAAAATGAGAAAAAAGTCTTTATTCCAGGCCTGGAACAACAACTATCAGTAAGTACTAGAGTTCAGTGGAACTATTCTGATATCCCAGGTGAGCTGAATGTTATCAAAAATTATCAAAATATAGATCCCTGTAATACTGTAGTCATGCTATAAGCAACATTTTTTTAATTCTAATGCAAGCAAAACAGTAAAGGGTCATCACCTTGTTTTTCCCAATTTTGTTTTAGATTCAAGATGGAAAAGGAAGAGTTACTTTAACTACACAACTATTGGAAGAGAAATTAAGAAAGAGTATTTCCACTCTGGAAGGTTTTCATTTATATGTTGCTGTTACCACTGTAGAAACTGCAAGTGAGTACACTATGCCTTAGCTGATACAGTCTGTAATATTTACGTTGATCTTTGTCTAGTATAATTCTTTGAGTGGGAAATTTTGTCCCATTGGACCAACCTTTACTGCAAAGCTTTAGTACATGACAGTCTCTTTCATCTCCCTTCCATGTACAAACTTAACCTCAGTGGGATTCACTTAGCTGGACACAAATTTCCAGTACCACTTTAAATGCCCTATGTAGTCCTATGTGGTCTTCCACTGCTGCTCCAGAAGTGCTCAGGTCTCCTGTAAGTATCTCCTATAGGATCTGTCCCTATTAAACAGCGCTGTGAAGATATCTAAGATACCCCAGTCCATCTGAAGTGGCACCAGACACTTGTATGAACACCCAGAAATTGCTCCCCTTGAGATCTTGTTCGAGCACTTGTCTCAGCCATGTCTACTCCTTCCATACATACAAAGATGTTAGTTGAGCTTGGTATCTTAGCGTACTTTGTACCTCAGCTGGTTAAGCTGTCAGTGTAAAGGTAAGGCATCTGTATTGCAGCTACAATGTGATGCAGAGGAGGATCTAGCCCTTGTGAGTCCTGCTGGTCCTCATATGCCTGCCTCCCCACAGTTTTATCAGATAGTGATACTTGGCATATGCATGAGTAGAATATAGTCCAATAGTTTTGCTGTTCATCTGGTACATGAGTCCCTGAGCCTGTCCATGGATCATGCCTGTCCAGAAATTTTTTAGTGGCTGTTTGCCTTTGTTTTCCTAGAGGACAGATAATTATTTCGGCAGTTCATTAAAAGAGATTTGTATGGATATTTGCTCACAGTGGTGCTAAGCACATTGAGTAGTCCCCCAGATATCTTAGAACTACCCACAAGTGAGCACTATGTTGAATTAGATGCAGTGGTTAATGGGTTATGTGGGTTGTAGTAAGTGCTATTGTTAGTCATATGAGGCTAAGGTGAGAGGTGCAACTTCAGTGCTGACCTCTGAAGTTGAATCTGCAACAAAGCTGATCAACATGGGCAATGTTTTTCTTTTTGTTCATAGAGAGATTGATACCTTTTATTTTATATATCTGAAAGTAAAGTATCTAGTCAGAGCTCAGGCACTTTGTATAGTCAATATAGGAAATGGATGAGTTAAACTGCTCTCCAGAGGTGCCTGTTCCCATTGGCTGTGCAAGGAAACTAATTATTCAGCTTAGATTTAATAAAATTCTAAAAACTCCTAAAAATCCTAAGTATTAAGTAGGATTCCTTAGCATCCCAAAATTAAGTCAAATGCGTTGCAGCTGTACAGTTCTTTAGTATAATCTGCTATTGGTACTTACCTGCACTATTGCCACAACATTTATTGCAAGAGCAAAGGGGGCTGAAAGTCTTCCCCGTTACCATACCAGCATGATAGGCATAAGATCTCACTGTGTGGTCTCTACCATGCTGTGCATGCTTTTTCTTTCTCCCACAGGCAGGCTGCCTCCACATTTGTGTATTTGCTGGGTTTGGTATTAATTATATGCATGACAGGGCAAGGCTGATGAGCTTTATTGACGTGTGTCAACCTTGGTGTGTTAATGTGGAAAATAACGACATTGAAAGTGTAATAAACAACCAAGCCTTGTAATCAAGGTAGGTTTAGGTTTATTTGCGAGGACAAAGTCAATAAAGCAAAAACACAGTCCTGGGTGCTTGACCCAAGTCAGAGACACACCGGGAAAGATATGTTATCCCTTTATATACATTTAGGATTGCATTAGTCACATACATATTCATTTTAAGGTTGGGTTATTATAATTAGTTTTAAAAAGGGGCAGGGTTATCCTAATTACTTTGGGAGACTTATTAAGATAAAATCCTATCTTTTCATACACATGCACTACTGCCTGGTGGTTGTGGGAAAGGTCCTTGGCAGGAAGGCTCACAGTCTTCTTCAGAGTGACCTCTTCACCCCTGATGAAGGGGTTATCTGACCTCCAGACTGCCGGTTTGGTTCTCTCCAGATGGTGGGTGCAGTGGTGTTCATATCTCCACAGTTTCTCAACTTCCCCCTTTGTTCCCCCAGGACTGGTCATTTCAGGCCTCTTCACCAAATTCCCCATATGTCAGCAAAAAAAAAGAATTATGGTGAAAGCCAACAACACTCTCCCCCATCTCTCACAAAGTATGTCTCTAAATGCACTTAGTTTATAGCAAGCCATGTAATTGTGGTTTTTTAGAAGCAGTTATGAGTAGTGGTTTAACTAGAAGTTAACTAGAAGTATGGGTGGTTTAACTAGGATAATCTTAGATGGGAAGCAGATGCTCAAGCTGTCTTGTAGATGCAAAGTTGCAGAAGATGCTATTTGGTAATATTAACTCTTATCAGTAGTAAAGAATAATAAAAAAACCTCTTTCATAAAATTAGAGATCTAAGGTCCAAACCTCCCTACTGATTCTGAGTGACTTTGATGTTGGACTTTGATGTTGTAGCCTTCCCCCAGGATTGAAGCCCTGACAACTCGGGAAGGGAGGTGCATGGCTGTGGTGGTTCCTGTGGTACCAGTGTGCCCTGTGTTTGCAGGCATCTTTTTCCAACCGATGTGTTAGAGGGGAATTTTTATGTTGTGAGTAACAAACTACTTTGCAGGTCTCCCTATCTGAGCTGTTGAGAGCACACACCTGCCAGTGCTGGCTTACTGGATCAAACATTGTGCTGCCCTTCCACAGCCTTGTCTCTAGTTGTCCCCCAATCTTCTTGCACCCATCTCTTCTTCTCAGGACTAAAGCTCTTTGGGGAGGGATCATATTTTAGTTTTCTTTATATACACTTCTAAAAATGCAGTTAATCTTGAAAACAGAAATGATGGATGCTATGGCAATATGCAAGTACATAATTATTGATCCCATAGCAACACACACTGTTTGATATTAACAGGTGGTGAGATGAGGGAAGAGGAACTCAGCAATGTGAAGTTTGTGAGATCTCCTTATGCTGTTGATCTGTCTAACACCAAGAAGTATTTTGTGCCTGGAGCCCCCTTCTCTGTTGTGGTATGTAGCATTTAATGGCTGTATCTGTTTGCCTCCATAGCAAGGGATTTATATCTGCCCTGTTTATAAAATCCTTATCTCATCCAATGGGAGCCCTGAAGGAGACAGACCTTCAGGAATAGGTCCAGTATGGAACTACTATTTGTGTGTCTGTTTTGTCTCATTTCTGTACACACAGAGCTTGAGCAGGGAAACTGAAGCCAGAAAATACTTGTTTTCTGTTACGGATGTCATCTGTGCACTGTTGCACTACAAGGTTTTATAAAACAGGCAGCAGTCTTTTCCTCACTTACCTATCAAAAGATTAAAATAATAATGTTGTATCAGATTAATCCCATATAAAATTAAAATTTTGAAAATTAAAACAAGATATTGACTTTTTTAAAAATGCATTTAAGTTTTTGAGTTTTTAACCTTCATACAATCAAGTTTTTCTACAAAGTTTTCTATAAAGAATTAAAGTTAGAAATTTAGCTTATAATAGTTAAAGACCAATATCTCTAGGACCAGCTGAGATCTAATAGATAAGTGAAAATCTGGGGCAGTTGTCAATTTGTGTTCACAGATTTTTACCTCAACTGGAGTTCAGGCTGAGTCAATTGCTACCCCCTTCTCTCAAAGCTCAAATTTTCAAACACTAATGTGTACAATTTTGTATTTCTTCTCAGTTTATAAAAATAATTGCTTCTTGTTTATGGGCATTTTTTAAACCCAAGCATTTTCTTGAAGTAAAAGAAAAATATCTTTTTCCAATAGGCATCTGTGACGTTGGTTGATGGCTCTCCTGCTACCTTTATACCTGTCACTGCCACTGTTACCTTGCCTGGAAAATCCCCAATGAAGAAGTCTGCACTTTCTAATAAAGAGGGTCTAATCCCCTTTACATTTGACATCCCTGGAGATGCTCAGACGCTTCAAATAACGGTAAAGAAACCCCAAACATCCATGCTTAAAAATATACGACTGAGAAGGGCTCAGAAGACGATTAAAAATGACTGTAAAGATTTAAAGTTTTCATTAAATTAGCACAGACAGTGGAAGATGATTTCTTAAACCATCTACACAGCTTTGTCCAGATTTTGTAAACTATGTTAGAGAGACCAGAGGCCTGAGAGATGTCTCACTGAAGTGAAGGACACTCTTGTACATTGGAGCTTTGGGAGTACCTGCATCGATCAGTGGCAGTGGTGCTTTTTTTGTGGTTTGTTTTGTGCATTTTCCTGCCATGAAGGATGGAAATGGGACTTTAAGGAATATTGCCATGAGAAGTAACAGAAAATTGTGAGAACAAGATGAAGGAAAAAGTCCTGAGCAATGCAGCCAGCAGGCTACATCTGGACACTCAGAAGGTTAAATTAGGTGCACAATATAAAAAGGGAAAAAAGCTAAGTACCAAATCACTTTGTGATTTTCAGCCATTGATTCTTGTTCAGAAGGAGCCAAGGCTGAAAAATACCAAGTGCAAATGCAGCAAGAGGAAAAACAGGCTGAGAGAACAAAGTAATTATAATCCTGGTTTTTGATTCCAGGTTCTGCTAGTGAGGTCTCAGCAGTGTTTCAACTCATTTCCCAGCATTTTCTGAATAACCTGGCAAGATACGAATTAAGGGTGACACTCTATACTGTTTCCCAAGGGACACTTTACTCACTTTGTCCTTTTCTTCCACAACAGGTAAAGGCTAAAGAGGGAAAAGAAAAATTGGAATCACCTGAAACCAGTATCAGAGCTGAAAGATACCAGTCTGCTTCTTCAAACTACCTCAGCATCAGCATCCCACATACTGTTGTGACACCTGGAGATACCTTACCCATCACTTTGAATGACATTCATCAGTCTGGCAGTGGAGCTGTTGACTATTTCTATTATATGGTAAACAGAATAGTAGTATATCAATAATTTTATTGATAATTTAGAAATTATACAACCCAGAACATCTATCTAGTTACTAATACATGGGAAACCAGATGGGGTCCAACAAAGGGCAACCAAAATGATCAGTGTCCTAGCACACCTGACCTACCAAGGGAGGCTGAGGCAACTGGGCTTGTTCAGTTTGGTCGGGAGGCTAAAAGTGAGCTAATAACAACCTAAAATTACTTAAAGACTTGAAGAGGAATTACAGACATAATGGAGACAAACTTTCCTAGGTGGTGCCACGCAATATAACAAGGGACAAAGGCTACAAGTTAGGGCTTGGAAAAATCATTGCACTATTGTGAATGCAATACTGGAAGACGTTCCCCAGAGAGTCTAGGGAATTGCCATTCTTAGAAGTATTCAACACTCAACTAGAGAAAACCATAGCTGACCTAATCTTACACTGTTGATGGCTCATTTTAGAGCAGGCAGTTGAACTGGAGATCTCGATAGGTCCCTTCCAGAAACTCTTTCTATGATTGTTATTTTTATATATTTTCATATATTTTGGGTCATGTAATACACAAATCTTTGTAATTTTTTTTTTCTAAAGAAGGGCACATAAGTACAAAATTTAGTCTGTATTTTCTAACATAGTCTAGAGCAAATAGGTCCATACGGGGTAATGTTTGTCTGCATAATTGTGTGGATATTTTTGAAAGATACTAAAGTGACAGCCTTGAAAACTGAAATCCTAGACAGATAACTTCTATCATATCTCTGACAATTTGATTTCTCTTAATCCAGATCTCTTTCATTCCCACTCCTTTCAATCTGTATTCTCTCATTATAATAAGCCATTACTAAATATTATTTTTATTGTACTGATTCCCATAAATACTCTTTTTTCAGCTGTTACAGAACTGCCCACCATGTTGTAGGCAGATGATACATATACATAAAAATGTCTCCCTGCAACTAGAAAACCTAGTTGCTTTGTCCTACAAGAACGCTGGGGACAGACTTCTTATAAGGGCAGTTAATGACAGAACAAGAGGAAATGGCTCTAAACTGAGAATTTAGATTTAGATTAGGTATTAGGAAGAAATTCTTTACTGTGAGGGTGGTGAGATACTGGAACAGGATGCCCATAGAAGTTGTGGATGCCCCCTCCCTGGAAGTGTTTAAGGCCAGGTTGGATGAAGATCTAAGCAACCTGATCTAGTGGAAGCTGTCCCTACTCATGGCAGGAGGGTTGGAACTAGATGATCTTTAAGGTCCCTTCCATCCCTAACCATTCTATGATTCTATTATAGGGGACCTTGAATATCTAGAAAATGTCTTTTATCGTGATCTATTGTTTATTTCACTAACAACACATGATTCTTATATTACTATGGCTTCATATTACCTGCACTTAGTGTTAGTTAACAGGTAGGATAACAGCATTATCTCCAACAGAAAATGTCATGAAGGATCACTGAAGGCATTTCCTCTTATGGCCCTAAATAGCATCATGAAATTGGGTGTGAAAAGCAGTTCTATGGATGTAAAAGCGAGGAAACAGTCCTGCTCAGCCTAGGACCGGGAATGCAAAGTATTTATTTTGCTGAAGGAGACAAAAGTATTCATGGATACACTTCAGGGGTGAATCTGTTGAATGTCAAATGTGTTTAATCCCCTTCTCCCTCTCTTCATCCTAATTTCCTTTGTCATCTTAAATTTCCCAGGATGATAAATGCCATGAGCACCAGGTCCCATTTATTTTTTAAGACTCTGATGTATTGGAATAATTACGTCCTTGGAGTTAAATTTAGGTTTACGGGTTCATTTTCATTGGATGACTTAGCACGGGGTTGGAATTACCACCGCTGGGCTCTGGGAAGGTGCAGTGCTGGGCAGGCAGGACATGTAGGAGGGGTGGTGGGACACATTACTGGAGCTCAGTAGTGAGGCTTTCCCCAAACTTTAGTCACCTAAACAAAAGCAGTGAGGATTTCAGACCAGGCTGCAGCACGTCTTTGTTTATTCCTGAAGCCCATTCATAGTGTATTTAGGAAAGCTGCATGTGTTTTGTTCAGGGAAGAGCACTACCTGTCCTGCCACTGTGTTTTTTCCACTTTCCACTCCTCTGACAATGTGTGAATATAATTAACATAACACATGAAGAAAGGAATGAAATAGTGAAAAATGGGCTGAAATCAGTTAAGGGACAGTCTGTGATACTTTATCCTGTATAACATTTTTTGGGTGAAACCTCCTGCTCTTGCACACCATCTGAAACGTTCAGTACTAAATACAGATTAAATAAAGCTGATATCCTCCCTGGGGGTGATGACCTGTTATAGTAAAAGACAAAAATAAGACTGCCATCTGGGACCCCCTTTTCAAGCTGTAAATCTGAGAGGAGGGAGACAGATTTGTATTCAAACCTGGGCCACAGGACCACTGCATCAGAGGCTTGCCACCATGCTCCTGTGCTAGAGTCACTGTGTCCTGGTTTCTTCCAGTCTACTGGTATGGATGTTGGGAATTAAAACTATTAGGTGTCATTGGAAGAGAATAAATTTGAAATATAAATCACCTTAGAAAATTCTATATATGTATATAAAATTATGCAACTTAATGCCCAGTATAGTGTGTATTCAAAATAACTTGACTTTTGTTTGTTTCTGCCTTGCAGGTTGTGGCAAAGGGACAAGTTGAGCTTTTGGGAAGAGTCCCCTCCTCAAACAAAATAATAAACCTTAGAGTCATGGAGGAGATGGTGCCCGCCTTTCGCTTTTTAGCTTACTACTTCATTGCAAATGAGGGCCGTCAAGAGATTGTTGCTGATTCCGTATGGGTGGATGTTATGGATGTCTGTGAAGGAAAGGTACTTTCAAAGCAAGTAGCTTCTGCAACTACATCTTCCAAAAGGCAGGTTCCCAGGCAGAAACACTACAAAACAGGAACATCCCCCAGCCTTTGACTGCTGACAGTCACAGCTGACAGTATTCCCTGCCCAAAGAGTCTTTGCTTTTTATTAACAAATGTGACATTTTTGTTTCAATCTTTTCTGTTCAGATTAAAGTGAGAACAGAACAGGAGATGTACGAACCAAAGGACAGAATTAATTTACTGATTGAAACGGACCATGCGGGAACAGTTGCCTTAGCTGTGGTTGATAAAGCAGTTTTTATTCTGAACAAGAAAAACAAGCTTACAGCCAAAAAAGTAAGATATCTGTAAGAAGAAAATATCGTATCTCCTAGTCAAGCAAAACTTTCCACTACTAATGAGAGGATCAAAATGTAATTAATGGCTATTAATTGCTTAATCACAGCTTTGCTAAACTTGAAAATGTTTTTGCTTTTGCAATTTAGGATCTATTTAAGATGAATGATATAGTTGAGATGGGATTTCCATGTTACAGCAGACAAGTTTGTAAATTAAAAAAGCATTACTTAAAAGCATTCCCCAGCTTTAATCCTCCCTCAACTTTAATCTCAGTTTCTAAATGCAGCTTGTACCACCAGTTTGTCTTGCTTCTGTTAGTCAAAGACTACAAGAATTTTTTTTTAATATACGTTTAAAAAAAACAACCTTTTGCAAATGTGTAAAGTCCATCTTTGCTATTTTATTTGGCAGGTATTTAATGCTATGAATTCGTATGATCTCGGATGTTCTGCAGGTGGTGGTGCAGATAGTATTCAAGTTTTTGCTGATGTTGGTCTGGCCTTTTTATCAGATACAATTAAATCCAACATTCGGGAGAGTAAGTGCAATCTATCTTTTACTTGGTTCTATAAGACCGCTACAGATCTGGGGTGGTTGATTGCTTAAAAATCAGCAACATTTTACTGTGATATCGTAAGATCTCCTTTGCCTGTGAATTTTTCTTCTTCTGTTCTTCAACTGGGTGCTGGCAGCTCAGATATCCCAGATGTTTTCTGCTGGTCCTTCGGTGCCCAGCTCAGCTGGGGCGAGCAGCAGTTGTCTAGGACTGTAAAGTACCAGTGATCTACAGATCTGCTGTGAATGAGATGGGTCCTAAGATCCATAAATGACCTGAATGATCAGGCTGGTACTTTCAGAGTATCATGACCAAGCTCTTTTGTTCTGCTTTCCCAGGCTATAAATGCCCCCAGGTTACCAGAAAGCAGAAGAGATCTTTGGATTTTCAGAAGCAAATGTCAGGAATTGGTATGTCTGCTCATCTGGATGGTCTGAAAGGTTTAGCGGGGGGGGAAGGAAACTGCCTGGGATCTAGGGAGCAAGAAGTGATGGGATACTAAAAGATACCACGATATTCATAGTCCTAGTTCTTGCTTTAAGTGGCATAATGTAGCACAAATGCGTATACTATGCTGTGTAACCTGATGCATCATCTATCAAAACAACCCAAGCAACAAAACCAATGCCCATCTGCAAATGGAAACTAATTCACCAATTTGTAATCCCAAATGTGAAGTACTTTTATTAGATATCATGTAATGGAATAAGTTATGGCTTTAAAGTTTTTCAAAATTATTTGTATAGCCATATTTGTATATGTCATTTGTCAGACTCGCCTCTGACCCTGGGAAGTTGATGGAGCAACTTATTCTTGATTCCATCTCTAAGCAATTGGAAGAAGAGAAGGTTATCAGGAATAGTCAACATGGTTTCACTAAGGGGGAATCATGCTTGACCAATCTGGTAGCCTTCTATGAAGTCATCACCAGCTGGGTAGATGAGGGGAGAGCAGTGGATGTTGTCTACCTTGATTTCAGTAAGGCTTTTGATACTGTCCCCCACAACATCCTTGTAGTGAAGCTTAAAAGGTATGGGACTGATAAGTGGACAGTGAGGTGGATTGAGAACTGGCTGACTGGCAGAGCTCAGAAGGTTGTGATCAGTGGCACAGAATCTAGTTGGAGACCTGTAACTAGCAGTGTTCCCCAAGGGTCAGTACTGGGTCCAGTCTTATTTAACATATTCATCAACGACCTGGATGTAGGGATAGAGTCCACCCTCAGCAAGTTTGCTGATTTTACGAAGTTGGGAGGAGTGGTTGACACACCAGAAGGCTGTGCTGCCATTCAACAAGAGCTGGACATGGTGGAGAGTTGGGCGGAAAAGAACCTGATGAGGTTCAACAAGAGCAAGTGCAGAGTCCTTCACCTGGGGACAAATAATTGCATGCACCAGTACAGGTTAGGGGCTGACCTGCTGGAGAGGAGCTCTGAGGAAAAGGACCTGGGTGTGCTGGTGGACAGCAGGCTGTCCATGAGCCAGGTCCTCCCCCACTACTCTGTCCTGGCCACATCTGGAATACTGTGCCCAGTTTTGGGCTCCTCAGTTCAAGAGGGACAGGGATCTTCTGGAGAGTCCAGTGGAGGGTCACAAAGATGATTAGGGACCTGGAGCATCTCCCGTATGAGGAAAGACTGAGAGCTGGGACTCTTCAGCTTGGAGGAGAGAAGATTGAGGGCATCTTATCAATAAATACTTGAAGTGCAGGGGCGAAATGGATGGGGCTGAGACCTTTTTGGTGGTGCCTAGTGACAGGACAAGGAGCAATAGGCAAAAACTGGAACACCAGCAGTTCCAGACAAACTTAAGGAAAAACTTCTTTACTGTGAGGGTGACAGAGCACTGGAACAGGCTGCCCAGAGAGGTTGTGGAGTCTCCATCTCTGGAGATGTTCAAAACCCACCTGGACGCTTTCCTGTGCAACCTGTTGTA